GAGATTTTCCTCTTGTGTAAAGTTAGATTCAAGAACAAACCGTGACTTCCCGCTGGGCCCACCTTGGAGAAGACTCATGGGGTTAAGATCCGTGCAACTCCCATTAACCCCGCAAAGCAGCCATATGTCAAAGGGATTCCTCCTCAAACTTTGTGAGAAGAGCCCTGTGCCATAATATAGTCCTTTCTTGGGTCAGCCATCATATCAGGAGAAAAGGTAAAGGTTTGGGCCTGGTCCGCCCAGTGAATTACTGGGGATTGACAAGCCGTCCAAGGTGGGTCCTGATCCTCACTATTCCCAACACAAAAAGGGGCTATTTTGGGCTGACGGGAGCAAGTTGTGTCATGGGAATTGGATTTATTAACACTGGGTGGCAAAAATGTGCCATTAATCCAGGTAACCTTGTACCAAGAGCGGGGATTATAATAAGTGCAATTTTTTTTATCGGATTGCCATGATGTCTTAAGTGTTGCAATCTGTCCCCATCGATTAAGAGAAAACAGCCCTAAGGCTCGGTGTGTGAGGTTAATAATTTACCCACACCCTTATCCTCCAATTGAAAACATAAGGAGCCTTGTTCCTGAAAGGGACGATTTTCACCCAACGGGGCTACGATTGTATCGTATGGGAGATAGGGCAAGTCCAATGTCTTATTAGTTGTAAAGAATTTTGGAAACACTTTTGCGTTGTGCCTAACAGGCATGGGTTTTGGAAAAGCAGAAAGAATTGCCCATCGTTGTTCCCCTGTAATACTAGGAACCCAGATCGGGAGGATCCAAACCAACACTAGGAGCTTCCGTAGACTTGTCTCCTTGGGTGTCATCTTCAGGTACCACAAGCCTCCGTGTCAGGCGCTCCGGTAACCAAAAGGGATTATCTTCCTCCTGTGGAAAGACACAGATAGCTCCCCTGGATCTTATTAAAACAGGATCCGGGCCTTTCCATTGACTAGTCAGGACATCTTTCCATTTAACCATTTCTTTAGGCCTATCAGGCTCCAGACAATGACGATCTGCTGCCGAACGGCCCTGACTGTCCAAATTTAAAAAATTTAGGGTGAAGAGTGCTATAGAGATAGTCACTCGTGGTACTGAGGGCAGAGCCTCCTCGACTCCCCCTTTTTGTTTTATTAAATAAGATTTGAGTGTGCGATGAGCTCGTTCTATGATGCCTTGTCCCTGAGGGTTATAGGGGAGGCCAGTCAGGTGGGTTACTCCCATCTGGTGACAGAATTGTCCAAATTTTTGAGAGGTATATGCTGGTCCATTATCTGTTTTAAGAATTTTAGGCTTTCCTCAGGCACTCCATGCCTCGAGGCAATGCTGAATAACATGGGTAGCCTTTTCTCCTGCTAGTGGAGAGGCAAACATAACTCCAGAACAGGTATCAATAGAGACATGTAAGTATTGTAATTTACCAAATGATGGGATGTGAGTAACATCCATTTGCCAAATTTGTAATGGACTGATTCCCCTAGGATTAATTCCAACATGAGGCATAGGTAAGAATTGACAACAATTTTGACATTGGGTTACTATATTTCTAGCTTCTTTTCTAGTTATGTCAAATCGACGACGCAGCGTCTCAGCTGTGACATGAAACCTTTTATGAAACTCCTTAGCCATTTCCAAATTTGATAAGAGGGCGAACCCAATTAATTTTGTGGCTCGATCTGCCAAATCATTCCCATGAGACATAGGCCCCGGCAGGCCCGAGTGGGCTCTAATATGTGTAATAAAAACAGGGGATCTTCTATTAATCAAGGCAGAATGAATCCTTTGAAAAATTTTTGCAAGTTTACTAGATGCCTTAATTAACCCAGCAGCTTCCAAAATCTTTGTGGCATTAACCACATAACAGGAATCCGAAACAATGTTTAAAGGACCCAAAAATTTCTCCAAAACTTCTAATACCACTAGACATTCTACAATTTGGGACGAGGTTTCATGATATTGTTTAGAAACAACCTTGTTATTAGCCACATAGGCTCCCACACCTGTCTTTGACCCGTCAGTATACACTACTAACCCATCCCGAAGAGGTTCTGCGGAGGTGATGCGTGGGAACACAACTTCTTGCGTCAAAGCAAATTGTAAAATGGGATGTTTAGGATAATGATTATCTATCAAACCACTAAAAGAGGTGACTAGCACTGCCCAAACGTCTGAGGTAGCAGATAAAGTTTGGACTTGGTGGGCAGTATAAGGCACTATCAGAGCCCTAGGTTCTCTTCCAAAGTGAGTGGTGGCTGCTTTTAAACCACGAAGGGCAAGTTGAGCAATTGCATCTGGATACCATTCAATAATTTTTGCAGGGAAGGCATTGGGATGTACCCACAGTAAAGGCCCGTCTTGCCATAGCACCGCTGTTGGCAGATTTTTGGTCTTAAAGACACATAACTCAAAAGCCCTAGTTTCATCTATACGTTTTAACTGAGCATCCTGCAAGGCCTCCTCCACCATGTTTAATACCCGATCCGCTTCGGGAGTCAGTGTCCGAGGTGAAGTAATATGAGCCTCTCCCTCCAAAATGTCAAATAGGGGCTTCAATTCAGCTGATGGAATTTTCAAAAAAGGTCTAAGCCAATTTACATCACCCAGTAATCTTTGGAAATCATTTAGCGTGTGTAAATGATCCCTACGGATCTCTATCTTTTGAGGAACTACATATTCTGGATAAATAACAGTCCCTAGAAAGGAACCTACTTCTGAAATTTGGACCTTTTCAGTAGCAATATGTAAGCCCCATTGTTCTAGAGTTTTTCGTAGCAGAGGATATGCAGTCTGTAAGACAGCTAACTCTTTATCGCACAAAAGAATGTCATCCATATAATGGATCAACAGTAAAGAAGAAAGTTGTTTTCTAACCGGTTCAAGGGCCATTTGAACATACAGCTGACACATGGTGGGGCTATTGGCCATGCCTTGAGGTAAAACTCTCCATTGATATCTTTTGTCTGGCTCATGGTGATTAACAGCAGGTAGAGTAAAGGCAAATCTCTGTCTGTCTTGTGGGCACAGAGGAATGGAGAAGAAGCAATCCTTGATATCTATAATTATGACTCTCCATTGTTTAGGCAGAGCGGAAAGTAAAGGTAGGCCTCGCTGAACAGAGCCAAGAAGCCGCATCTGTGCATTAATGGCCCTTAAATCATGAAGAAGTCTCCATTTCCCAGACTTCTTTTTAATAACAAAAATAGGTGTATTCCAGGGAGAAGTAGATGGTTCCAAATGACCAAGATGTACCTGTTCTTTAACCAGCCTTGTAGTGGCTTCCAGCTTTTCAGAGGAAAGGGGCCATTGAGGAACCCATACGGCCTCCTCTGTGAGCCAAGATATGGGCATGGAACCCTCAATGGCAGCTAATGAAAACCCAGGCCTTGTTTCCCTGTATTACTTTCCTGTGAAATCGGGTGTAATCTCCCTTGTTCCTGTTTACCAAGGCCTTTTCCTTCCTTATAACCCATCCTTTTCATTATATCAACAGCTTGTTGAGAGTACTCATTGGTCAATGCCAATCCCAAGTCTTGTAAAATGTCTCTTCCCCAGAGATTAACGGGGAGGGGAAGTACATAAGGTATGAAACTTCCTGTCTGACCCTCTGGCACTTGCCAGGTTAACGGGCGCGAGCCGACTGCAGGCTTCATATCCTAACCCTTGTAAGGAACGAGATGATTGTGTAACAGGCCACGCCCTAGGCCACCAATTTGAGGAGATAATGCTCCGGTCAGCCCCAGTATCTAAAATGCCAGTGAAAAGTTTCCCCTCTATCTGTAATTGTAAGGTGGGCCTAGTTTTTTTTTTTTTTTTTTTTTTTTTTTTTCATTTTAGAAGAAATGCTCTCTTTTTTTCCCCATTTTGTTTATAATGTGGGTTATAGGTTTGTTACTTATTATTTTTATTTATTTATTTTTCTTTTTAGTTACATTTTGTTAACTCTGTGTCCCAGCTGTATCCCGCTCCCTCATTCCCTCCCAAACCCCACACTCCCTCCCTGGTCTCCTCCCTGCCCCTTTCCAAGTCCACTGATAGGGGAGGACCTCCTCCCCTTTCATCTGACCCTGTTTTATCAGGTATCTTCAGGGCTGGCTGCAAAGTCCTCCTCTGTGGCCTAACAGACTGCTCCTCCCCTGGGGGGGGGGGGTGTCAAACAGCCTGCCCTTGAGATCCTGTTAGAAATAGTCCGTGTTCCCCTTACTTTGGAATACTACTTGGTTACTGAGCTACCACGGGCCACCTCCGAGCAGAAGTTCTAGGTTATATCCATAGATGGTCCTTGGTTGAGTGTCAGTCTCAGAAAAGACCCTGTGCCCAGATATATTTGGTCCTTGTAGAGCTCCTATCCTTTCCATATCATGAGCAACAATCAATAAATGGGACCTCATGAAACTGAAAAGCTTCTGTAAAGCAAAAGACACTGTCATCAAAACAAATAGACAGCCTACAGATTGGGAAAGAATCTTCACCAACCCTTTATCTGACAGAGGGCTAACATCCAGTATATATAAAGAACTAAAGAAGCAGAAAAACAACAAACCAAGTAATCCACTTAAAAAATGGGGAACAGAGCTAAACAGAGAATTCTCGAAAGAGGAACATCGAATGGCAGAGAAACACTTAAAGAAATGCTCAACCTCATTAGCCATTAGGGAAATGCAAATCAAAACGACCCTGAGATATCACCTTACACCCATCAGAATGGCCAAGATAAAAAACTCAAGTGATAGCACATGGTGGGCCTACTTTTTAAATCAACCACCAAGTGAGCAAAGTCAGTTCTTGAAGAACCGAACCCTTTGTTGCCCCTTGTCATTCCTGTGGATGGGAAAACATCCTGCAAGCTTGGAAGGAGAACTAACTGGGCAATCCTATCTCCAGGGGAAATGGAAAATACTCCTTGCGGACAAGAACAAAGAACTTGAAGCCCTTCAGTATAATCTTGATCTATTATTCCAGGATGGATAATAAGCCCCTTTAGGGTAAGAGAGGAGCGTCCGAGTATCAGGCCAACACTTCCCTCGGGCAGAGGGCCCTCAAACTCAACTGGAACGGGCTGAACACCCAATTGGGGCATCAATAAGAACTGGGAGGTGGAACAGAGGTCCAATCCTGCTGATCCTCCTGTTGCTCTACAGCTGGATAGACCCTCCTGCTGACTGTTTGTGTCTCATATTTTTTGGGGCCCTGGGATCTGGGGCCCTGAAATCCGTTTTTTGGAATATTCTCATTCCTCTCATTAGGGGGGGCTTCATGCTGAATAAGTTTTCCCTGAATATCCCTAACTGAGCGACATTCATTGGCCCAATGATTACCTTTCCTACATTTGGGGCACAGTCCTGGAAGTTTCTTTTGTGCAGTAGCATGGCAATCTCGCTTCAAATGGCCTGGTTTACCACAGCTATAGCAGGTTTTATTGCTTCCTGGACCTGAACGGCTCTTGCTCTGCAGGATAGCCGCTGCAAGGCCAGCATTGGTAAGTGGGCCTCCAAGTCCTCGGCAGATCTTTATCCAATCTGTAAGCCCTTTGTTCCTTCTAGGAGTAATGACTGTCTTACATTCTGGGGAAGCATTTTCATATACCAACTGTTCTATCATTGGCCTGACTCGCTCCGGATCTCCAAATATTCTACCTGCTGCTTCTGTCATTCTGGCCACAAATTCTGAGAATGGCTCCTGAGGGCCTTGTATAATCTTTGTCAGGTGTCCTCCAGCCTCGCCTTTCTTTGAGAGGGCTTTCCATGCTTTAATAGCAGCCGCAGAAATCTGGCCATATGCCCCAGGGTCATAATTGGTTTGATTGTGTACAAATTGGCCTTGCCCTGTCAGATGATCGAAGGTCCACTGTCGTTGGGCACCTTCCACATGGGAGTTGACTCCCGCTTGGGTCTGAGAGGCGTCATGCCATAGGGCTTTCCATTCTAAGTATTGGCCCATATTAGGAAGAGCGGCCTTTACAGTATTTTGCCAATCCCTCGGAGTCATAGCCACGCCAGCAAGCCTCTCAAGCTGCATAATTGTGAAGTTAGCATCCACTCCATATTTATTAACTGATTCAGCAAGCTCTTTAACAAGGGGGTATTCTACTGGTGCATATGTGCGACCCCCGTCTGCAGCCTCAAAAACAGGAAAAGCCTGAAAAAGTTTTCTTTTGTCCTCTTTTGAAAAAAAAAGAGTCCGATATCCCTACCAGGGGAGCCGAGCCATGTCTTTCCACATAGGGTGGAGGGGCGCTAGGGGCTGATGAGAAAGCCCCATGAACTCTATTTATTGACCCTCCTTTATGTACCCTACCTGGTGGCGGCGACTGTTTATCAGGGTGGTATCTCTCTTCCTCATAACGAGCCGCCTCCTCCTCTAAGTCCTCCTCCTCAGAGGGACTCAGCTCCTCAGATTCAGAATTATCAAGCCCCAATGCCTCCAATTCTTTTATTGGATAGAGAGGCTTCTTTTTTGGGTTTTTCCTTCCCCTTTCACCTTTCTCTCCCAGGGCGTCCTTTCCCTTGTCTATCCTGTCTGTGGACTTACCGTCCACAGACGGGTCTTTTTTCTTAAAGACGTCTTTCTCTTTTTCTTTAAGGGCCCTTAACCTTCTATCCCGTTCTGTTTCTGACATGCTGTCTTGTATTTCCTCTAACACCCCTTGGCCGGCTGCCACAGAGAAGCGGCACTTCCTATCTTCTAAGCAAGATTTTACTAAAATCCACAATGACCTAGTTCCAACTTTTAGCTTCCCATCTTTTTCCTCCCTCCGTAAATCACCTTCTAGCTTATCCCAGGAAGCAAGCGTCAGCGACCCTGAACATACAAACCAGGGAGCAATGCGATCGATTTCTCTAATAAATCCTTCCAACTTTCTTTTTGAAAGCTTTAGTTCATGCTGTTTTAAAAGTGACTGAAGTGCCGTGATCACCGAGTGTGAAGCTCCCATGCTGCTCCCTTATCTACGAGAGAAACTGACGCAGGGAGGCGGGGCTTATTTAGTCCATCTAACAATACCCAACGGCACATCAAAGGCGGGACACCACGGCTTATCTAGTCTGTCTGACCCTGCCCAACGGCGGCGAGCCTTTTAGCAAGAATATTTGTGGAAGCAAAATAAAACCAAAAGAAGGAGAACGAGCGCTACTATTACAATAGGGAAAGCTACAAGGGCTCCTGCCAATTGGGGTGAAAGATGAGACAATTCAAGACCAGGCATGTCTTTCAGAACTTACCTTAGCGCTGCAGTTCTTAATCCTCCCCGCGAGCGGGGGGGTCTCCTCAGGGCCGGTGGTGAAAAGCTTCCCCGGCTTTCCTGGGTTTCGGCACCAGTTGTTGCAACCCGCGTGGTCGTCTCGCCAGCAAGAACGCACACGGGCAATAGGATCCTTCTGCAGCAAGCTTTATTGCAGTCAATTGATTAGAGGAGGAAGACCCCAACCCCCAGAATGGTGCTGCTTAAATACCCCCTGCGGCGGCGTGTACTCCGCTGGTTGGCTGCTTGCCCATTGCCCCTTGTGACGCCCCGGTCTGGGCAGTAACGCCCGGGGCTGGGCAGTGACTTGGCGCACTTTTGCAACTGGCAGATGCGCTCTATTACTTGTTCACTAGGGCTGAGGCCTGATGTCGGCGCCATTTCGTAATGGCGATTGCATTCTCTCGGCTCTCCACAAACACTATTGAAATTATTCTCAAAACTTAATGTAGTCTTTATCAAAATTTCATTGGTAGTTTAGCTAAAATTAAAATCTGGTTCTGAAATACATGAAGAATCGAAAGGCTGAAAACTGTGAAATAGAAAGAAGAAATGGGGCAGAGAATATATATGAAACTAGTATTTCACAATTTCCTTAAAGGCATTATTCAGTGACCCCATATTTTCTTGGTCCTATTTCTTGAACATGTCACCCTGGAGACCAACCAATTAATATAAGTGACTTTGGAAAACATATTGATATGAAAATTAAACCACTGACTAGTGAAAAGAAAACATCATTGGAGTACATATTTCCAAACGTACCATGAAGTTAGAGTTATCAGATTTGTGGTGCATTTATAAGGATGTAGATTTGAACAAAATGGATAACATTGAAGTTCTAGAGTTAAATACATATATTTCTGCCCAATTAATTTGTTCATGAGGGAAAAAAAACCCTCAGTAAAAATAGAATGTTCTGTTCCAGAAAAGATTTCGATAAATTGAAAAATCCATGTGAAAAAACAAATTCTGTCACAGGTGTATCCAGCACCTTATCCCTTAGTTGGTCCCTAACCGACTCAAATTTATTCCTCTTCTTTATCTTTTTGTTTGTTTGCTTTTTCATTTGTTTAGTTTGTTTTTTGCGATATGGTTTCTCTGTTTAATCTTGGCTGTCCTGGACTTCTTTTGTAGACCAGGCTGGCCTTGAACTCACAGATCCACTTGCCTCTAACTCTCTGAATTGTTGGGATTATAGGAGTTCACCACCACACCCATCTACATAGATTCTTTTAAATGTACAATGAAGTAATGAACACAGAGGATAAAGTTTTATCCTTGTGAAACATTAGGAACATGTAAATGTTAAACACAATGAGTGATTACTTACACCAGCTAAGATAAAAAAATAAGGGATAATAATATTTGAAAACATAGAACATCACATAACTGATGATTAATGAAGAAACTGGAAACCTTGTTGATTGCTGGTTAAAATACAAAACTGTTCAGCAGCTGTAAATACTTTTGTATATCAATACTAGCACTCACAAGTAAAAAGCCACCAATTATACACCAATGGCCCACATGTAATATATTGGTACTGTAAGACTATAACAGAAATGACAGTTTTTGTTTTCTGGCAGTGTTGTACTCATCACTGCAAAGTCCTAAACATACCTTGTGCATTTATGGTGATGTGTAAATAAGTAAACAAAAAGTATAGCATACATAGCTATGTATGGTATCATTTTATAATGGCAATGATAAGTAACTCAATGATTTAGGTATTTGATACTTTGTATAATCATTATTTTAGAGCATATTTTGGTTATTTGTTAAAAATTATAATTTAAAACACTATGAAAACTAATAGTGACTGAGTGATTGTGACATTATGTATAAGACCTGTGCATTCTCAAGACAGAAAAAAATCCCAGTGGGGTGAGGAGAAAATAGGTACAAAATCCCACCAGAAGCTAAGAAGAAAGAAGGAGAGAGAAAAAGAGAGACTGAATGAATTGTATTTTAATGTGTCTTAAACTGCTGGTAGGTTGACCATAATTTAGGGCAGGCCCCACTTCCAAGAATATTTGAGAAATGCAAAATGTATGCAATGAGTTTTAAAAAGATAAGAAAAATGAAGAGAACTTGAAATTGTATGTGTAGGGAGGTGATAGTGAATCTGGAAGAAATAGGAAGAGTGAGTTAATAAAATCAAAATACATTGTATGAAGGAATTAACAGTCTATATTTAGAAGAATGTATTCTTATATATATTCATAAAGACATACAATAACAATCAGTGAAAAGCAAATCATAAATTAGAAGGACAGCATGGAGGAATATGTGCAAGGATTTGGTCAAAGGAAAGTAATAGGATAAATGTTATAATATAATCTCAATAATAAAAAATATATAAAATTCCAAACATGTTAATAAAATTGTTAGTTTTAAAATCACAGCTACATCCTATCCAGCATGTATTGTCACTTGAGTGTTTTATCTTTGCCATTCTGATGGGTGTAAGGTGAAATCTCAGTGCTGTTTTGATTTGCCTTCATCTGATGACTGAGGACAATGAACATTTCTATAGGTATTTCTTTGACATTTTATATTCCAATACAGAGAATTCTCTGTTTAGCTCTGTACCTCATTTTTTAATTGGATTACTTGATTTCCTGCTTTTTAACTTTATTTTTCTTTTTATATTCTGGATAGTATCCCTCTGTCAGATATAGGGTTGGTGAAGATTTTTTCCCAGTCTGTAAGTTGTCGTTTTGAACTGACAACAGGGTCCTTTGCTTTACAGAAGCTTTTTATTTTATGAGGTCCTATTTGTTGATTGTTGATATTAGAGCCTGTGCTGTTGGTGTTCTTTTCAGGAAGTTGTCTCCTGTGCCAATGAGTTCAAGTCTCATCCCAACTTTTCCTTGCAACAGATTTAGTGTGTCTGGTTTTATGTTGAGGTCTTTGAACCACTAGGAGTTTAGTTTTGTGCAGGGTGTAATATATGGATCTATTTGCATTTTTCTGCATGTAGAAATCAAGCTAGACAAGCAACATTTGTTGAAGATGTCTTTTTTCCATTGTATGGTTTAGGCTTCTTTGTCAAAACCAAGTATCCATATATGTATGGGTTTATTGCTGGAGAGGATGTGGACAATTAGGAACCTCTGCCATTGCTGTTAGGAAAGGAAACTTGTACAACCATTTTGGAAATCAATCTGGCATTTTCTCAGACAATTAGGAATACTGATTCATTAGATATAGCTAGAGGGCCTCTGAAAGACTCTACCCAACAGTGTATCAAAGCAGATGCTGAGACTCATAACCAAACTTTGGGCAGAGTGCAGAGAATCATATGAAAGAAGGGGGAGTTAGTAATACCTGGAGAGGACCCAGGAGCTCCACAAGGAGAGCAACAGAACCAAAATATCTGGGCACAGAGGTCTTTTCTGAGACTGGTACTCCAACCAAGACCATTAATGGAGATAACCTAGAATCTTTGCTCAGATGTAGCCCATGGCAGCTCAGTATCCAAGTGGATAAGTGGTAAGAGGAAAATGGACTGTCTCTTACATGAACTCAGTGGCTGGCTCTTTGACCAACCCCCTGGGGTGGAGCAGCCTTACTGGCCACGGAGGAGTACATTGTAGCTAGTCCTGATGAGAAGTTAGGGCCAGATGAAAGGGAGGAGGTCCTTCCCTATCAGTGGACTTGGAGAGGTGCATGGGAGGAGATGAGGGAGGGAAGGTGGAGTTGGGAGGGCATCAGGAAGGGGACAAAATCTGGAATAATATGTAATTAATGTAAATATATATATATATATATATATATATATATATATATATATATATATATACCTCCAGCTATACCACTCCTGGGCATATATCCAAAATATGCTCAATTACACAATAAGGACATTTGCTCAGTCATGTTCATAACAGCTTTATTCATAATAGCCAGAATGTGAAAACAACCCAAGTGTCCCTCAGTGGAGGAATGGATACAGAAATTGTGGTACATTTACACAATGGAATACTACTCAGCAATTAAAAACAAGAAAATCATGAAATCTGTAGGCAAATGGTGGGATCTAGAAAAGATCATCCTGAGTGAAGTATCCCAGAAGGAGAAAGACACAAACGGTATATACTCACTCATATATATATATATATATATATATATATATATATATATATATATATATAATATACTAAAATCTGTAAACCTAAAGAAGCTAAGCAAGAAGGAAGACCCTGGGTAGGCTAATCAATCCTCACTCTGAAAGACAAATGGGATGGACATCGGAAGAAGAAGAAAGCTGGAAACAGGCAAGAAGCCTACCACAGAAGGCCTATGAAATACTCTACCCTTCAGTGTATCAAAGCAGATGCTGAAACACATAACCAAATTTAGGGCAGAGTGTATGGAATCTTATGAAAGAAGGGTTATATAGTCAGACATGGAGAGGACAGGAGCTCCACAAGGAGAGCAACAGAACCAAAAATTCTGGACATAATGGTGTTTTATCTAACTGATACTCCAACCAAGGACCATTCATGAATATAACCTAGAACTCCTGTTCAGATGTAGCTCATGGCAGCCCTGTATCCAAATGGGTTCCCTAGTAATGGGAAAAGGGATGGTCTGTGACATGAGCTAAGTGGCTGGCTCTTTGATCACCTCTCCCTGAGGATGAAGTAGCCTTGCCAAGCCAGGGAATGAGGGAGGGAGCTACAGCTGGG